TGCTGGGCAGGGTGTCAGGAGCTGCTGCAACCTTACCAAGTGCTCATGGTAGCTGAATCCTTCAGGAGGCCTGAGCACAGGTGCAGGCAGCGTGGTGGGGCTAGCTGCGTGGCCGAGCAGCGCCGCCGCGCCCTCAGGCGGCGGCGGCGGGGGCGCTACCATCGCGCCGCCGCGCCGGCGTTTTGCGGGAACTCTCCGCCATGCGAGCGGCGCTGCCGGCGCGGGCGTGTCGGCCGCCGGCGCGCGCGGCCGGGGCCGCGGCGAGCCGTGTTGCTCCTGCTGCTGCTGCTGCTCCTGCGGCAGATCTTGCTGCTGCTGGGGCAAGATGGAGGGCTCCTGGAACACTGGAAGCCGTGCGGGCTCTGTGGACTCCCCATCTTCGCCCTCGTCTGTCTGCAAATCCACTGCTGCCGGCACGCCCCCTTGGGCGCCGGCCTGTGTGGTCGATGCCGGCAGGTCAGCGGGCGGCGAGGGCAAGGTTTGAAAAACGAAACAGGGTGCTGCTTTCCAATGGCTCCAGTCTCTGCAGCTACTTGGACTTGCAACTGAACAAAGCTGCTAAGAATATGCGAATTTGAATGATTCATCTGAGGGCTCGGCCACGCATGGCCCCACCTGTGTGGCATCGGATCGGCCAAACGGCCTGGCTGCCTGCTTGTGAGGCGTTGAGCCAGTGGCGTCGTCCGCAACGCCGCCTGCCGCAAGCAGCGCGTTCAGGATGCCGGTGTGGTTCTGTAGCGAGATATGGTGCCTCTCTGCCTCATCTTGGTGCTTCTTGCGCTTCATCTGACAAAGATCGTGTTGGCCATGCAAAGAGGCGCCCTGTCAGAGCCTTCGACTGAGTGATGAAAATGTGTTACTTGTGTCAACAACATATGGCGTCTGGAAAGCCCCACCTTTGCGTGCGCTAGCTGGCTAGCCCTGCACAGCCTCTCGTGGTTAGTTGAAATCAAGCGCGAGGCGTCGTCCAATGCTGTGTGATTGTAAATTCTGACACCTACAACAACCAATTGAGGGGCGTGCAATGAGGTGGGTTCAGCAGTGTCGCGGTACGAGCCGACTGTGCGAATCCCGCCTGGCGCCATATGCAGAGCTGCGTGCTGCCGCTCTGGTGGCGCACACAACGCTCTGCAATCCTTACCCCTGTTTGCCAGACCATCATTCGCGGTTAAAGCTTGCTCGCTTATGATATGGCATTGGGCAGTGCTCCTGCTCACTGTGCTCTCAGCTCAATGCAGGCAAGCGTGCGCCCGCTCAGCACAGCCGCCTCACCAGGCACGCGGTCCCCCAGCCGCATCCTTGCTCCTACTCTGGGTGCCCTGCCACCCCTCAGCCCGCCCCTTTTGATGCCTCTGCTGCCGGGACATTTGGAGATCCCCACACAGCTGACGCCGTCCGCCCACATTCGGCCCAGTCAATGGAGACGTGCTTCCAAAAAGCGCTGGGTCACCGCCGCCCAGCGAGTAGCCACACGGCAGTAGCCCCTCTTGCGCACGCAGGTTGCGCCTTTTGCAGGTCCCGGCAGCTGCTGGTCTGGAAGCTGCTGCCGCTGGGACCCTGCCGGCCCCGCCAGCCGCAGCCCGCCCTGGGCTGCCCTACAAATGAAGGCGCGAAATGAGAAAAGGTGACGCGTGTGCACTCTGCGCGTGCTGTGAACGATTACTCATCCTGCGCCGCACCCCGCGCCCTCCTCGCCCGTGGGGGCCGCCGTCGGGGGCGCCGGGCACAGGGCATCATATTCGGGCGGCTCTGGGATACCAAACCGCAGCGGGCGGCGTGTCACGGGGTGGGACAGCTGCAGCTCCACCGCCCAAAGGCACAGGGGCTGCCCGCCACCGCCATCGCCGCCGCCGCCGCCGCCGCCGCCGTCCTCTCCGTCGCTCGCGTCCGCGTCTGCCTCCGCCTCTGCGCCTGGCCCGCCCTTTGTATACAATGACTCGAGCAGCCCGTCAGCCGCCACCTTCACGCCGCCACCCGGCTGCTGCGCTACAACTCTGCTTCCCTCGCCCGCCGGCCAACATGAGCCGCCGCAATCGTCAGCACCCCGCCCGCCGCCGCCGCCCGCCTCGTGCCGCGCGCGCTTCTTGCCCGCCGGCCCCGCGCCGCCGCTGTCTGTGGGCCCCTCCGATGCCGCAGTCGCCTCCACAGATCCAGCCGCCGGGCCCGCGCCGCCGCCGCCGCCGCCGCCGCCGCCGTTAACGTCGTCGCCCGCAGCCATGCCGCCGAGCAGCGGCTCCATGTCGCAGGGCGTGAAGGCGATGCCCTCTTTTCGGCGGTGCTGGTACTGCCTCTCCCCCAGTAGGGGGTGGCCGAGGTACGCCATGTGCTTGCGCAGCTGCAGATCGGCAAAGATCATAGTAAATCAGGGGAGGAGGGAGGGTAGCAGGATCCCGAGGTCAGACACTACACTTGGGCAGGGAGGTCAGGTGCGGGTGTGCTACAGGCCCTGGGACCTGCAAGCTGGCCTGGCCATGCCTAGGGGAGGACACACGGTACCCAAGCGACTGGATGCGACAGGCCGCCGGGTAGGGCCGATCGTATGAACAAGAAATAGGCGCTCGCAGCAGCTGCCGCACACGCGCCGCCTTGACTCGCACCTGGTGCGTGCGGCCGGTCTTGGGCCACAGGTGCACGCGCGTGACCCACCCGCCGCCACCGCCAGCCGCCGCCTCGCCGTCGCCGCCGCCCCCGGCCGCAGGTGGCGTGACCCGCGACGCCGCTGCCGCGCGGTACAGCGTCACCGCGGCGCGGCCGTCCAGGGGGAAGTCGATCAGGCCCTCCCCCTCGACCCGGCCGGTCACGAGAGCGACGTACCTGGAGTTGATATATTTTAACATGCACGCTGTGCATGGATCAGCATCCAGTATAAAATGTTGTGGCAACGAAGCGTGGAGGCGGAACAATGTGGGGCTGGGGGATTCCCTGCACAATGTCACGCACAGTCGCGCGGCCTGTCGCGCGCGCAGGGTACGACGGTACACACGGGCCGCCGTGTCTGCCTCGCCCAAACCCCCAGCCACTGCGCATAGGCGAGGGGTCCCACAAATGATGCCCAACAGCTGCTGCGCTCTTCACAGCCGCACCGCTTCTGCATTCTGTGGGCCCGCAGGTCTTCCCCCAGGGCAGCCAGGGCGCGCCGCGTCTTGCCGACCAGCACCAGGCCGCCGGTGGGCGCGTCAAGGCGGTGGGCCTTTGGTTGGGGGCGGTTGGGGACGGTGGATGATGAAGCGTGGGTGGTACAGACGGCGCTCGGAGACGTTCTTCGGTCCGAGGTTCAAGCTATGCATGCGTGCCGTGTCGCAAAGCGTTGTGGGCGGATGTGCGGGCGGGTGCGGGGGCTGCGAGCGGGGCCGGGGGCTGCGCTGAGGGGCGTGGCCGCCACAGGTGGCCGCGGCTCACGTGGTGGGGGCGAGCGAGGCAGCCCTCTGCAGTGGATGGAGTTAGGCAGTACCTGGCAAGGGCAGCGACGAGGGCGGAGAATATAGGTTTAAAGATGAGAGGGGGAGGGGTACCGAAGGGAATGTGATCGGGTCGAGGGCGTGGATCTGAGGCGTGCGCGGGCCAAGGCGGGGTCCTGCAGGGTGGCGCGGCAGCTGGGGTGTGTTGGTGGGGCCGGCTGCCGGCCTGAAGGAGCCCTCAGCCGTCGTTTCGCCGCCCGGCGCCACCTCCCTTGGTTTCGATCTCGAAGGGTTCCCTGGCCATGCAAGCAACCCCAAAAGAAGACTCCCCGGCACGCATGGGCAACAGGTGCACGCAAGCATGCTCATGACAGCACGTGAAACGGGCCGGCGCGCCCACCCGCGCCCCTCCCCTCACCCACTTGATGCGCCCTTGCAAGCTGCCGTCCCCCTTGCCCTGCGTGGGCAGGCCCTGGGGCTTCACAACACATGCCATGTCATCATCCTCGTAAACCACGACCAGCCCCGGCCGGCCCGCGGCTGCAACAGCCTCGGCGCCGCAGCGCTGCACAATCTGGGGCGTATCGGGCAGGTGGGGGGCGCGACGCGGCAAGGTCGGCCGCTGCTGTGTATCCTGTCGGCTGCGAGATCGGTCATATGTGCAGAGGTCTACGAAATTGGGCAGCTGCAAACATGTGTGCCAGCCGCAGCGGCGGATGTGTCCCCATCCAGGGGTGCCGCGCACTGCAACTCCCCGGCCCACGAGGGGGGCCCCAGACCATGGTCTGCGTTTGCGGGCCGCGCCGCACCTCGATGATCGCGCCTGGCGCAACCTCGGTCTCCGTGGTGCCCTTCCCGCCGTTGACATACGCCTCGCCGCGCCGCGCCGCCTTTTTCGCGGCGGTGTCGGACGCGTACCGCCCGGGCAGCAGCTGCCGCAGCGCGGCCGGCAGGCGGCGCGGCGTGAAGTCGGGAGGAACGGCGACGGTATCGACGACGCGCGCGTGCTTCTTGAGGGCGGGGCCGGCGCTGGCGGTGCCGGCGGTGGCCGGTTGTGGGCTTCCTGCTGATGCAGCAGGGGCGGTCGGCACCCGACCCGTCGCGCTGCCGCTCATCATCATTCGGTGGAGGACCCGGTAATGGGTGGGTTTGAAATGTGGTACCATGCCAAAGGTCTTGCGGGGATCACATGCGTCACCAAGATCTAGATGCATGCTTCAAGGCATGCGATAGTTGTGTTGCTGCCATCTTTCCGTTTGCTCAACATCGTGATTGTGCGTCAATTCGTGCTCATAACCAAATAAGCATCAGTCTTAGATTGTAGGTCGCGATTGCGCACCTAGTGCTCCGCACGCAAGCTCCGCCCTGCAAGCATATAGTACGGAATGCAATCGTCCTCAACACGCCCAGCCCCGCGTGGCACCACGCCAGCCGCCGCTGCACCGCGGCGGCAGCATCATCGCGCGTCGCGCGCCCCAGCTCCAGCGCCGGTGCAGCCACGCCTTGTTGTGACCGCTAGCTTTCGGCAAGGATCCACGTCAATAACCAAGAAGCGCAACAAGTTCAGCAGCGGCAGCGGCTTGCCTCCCGTCCGCGGCGGCGTGAGTGCCTACAAGCTCTGAAAGCCGTGCATGGAGAGTCGGCAGAGCATGCATGCATGCGCGTCGCGTCCCGCGCCACTACGTCTGCCATCCCCCGCGTACACGCGCAGCGTCCATGCGATCATGCGATGTGGTGTGCTGTGCATGCATGCAACATGCATATTTGACGCTCACAAGCCTACAAAACCATCGTCGGCAGCTCAGCTTGCCAGTCTGCATGCTGACGCTGACTAAGCACTCTTTTTGACTGGATCCGTCACCCCGCAGGACGGCAATGGCGGCGGCGGGGGCGGCGGCGACGGCTGGGGTTGGGAGCGGCTTGCGCTCAATCTGATTCCCAACGCCGCCTTCCTCGGGCTGTATGCCTTTGTAACGTCGTATGGAGGCGACGGCTGGGGCAACGGGCCATTCGGTAAGCACATTTTTGGGTCGTTGTATGTGCCTTGCCCATCCAACTCTTCAGTTGTTGCTGCTCTCATGTGTGCGCCGCACTCAGCTGCGGCTATCAAGCATACAAGCGCCACAGGGAGTGCCAACGCCACTGCTCCCACTGCGCTCATGAACACGCTGCAGGCGGCGGCGGCGGCGGGGGCGGCGGCGGCGGCGGCGGCGACGGCTGGGGCGGCGACGGCGGCGGGGCCGGCGGCAACGGGGATGGTAGCATGCTTGGGGAGGACGGGAACGACGAGGAGGGGCGCGGCGGGGCCCGCCGGGCGAGCCACCGCGCCGTTGAGGACAGCTGGCAGCCGCAGGCGGCCGGGCCGTCGCAGCCCTACTCGTCGCGCCGCAGCTACCGGTGAGGGGTCCATCATCCGGCCCCGCTGCATCTGTGTCATGCCGGGTGTCTTCCCTTGATTTTGTAATGCCCGGCTGGGTATGTGTGGTGTTGCGATTTGCGTGGTGTTGAGACACTCGCCAGCCATCCGTGCTGCATTACGTGTGCTTTGTGTGAGAGCGTGTTGAGTGTGTTGAGTGTCAAAAACCGAGCGCGAGAGACAGAGAGCTGAGCTTGAATCAGGGCGGCTATAGCAGTGGGCGATGCGCTGGTCGGGGCAATCGCTGCGGCCCAGGCCACGCCATGCCCCGGCCACCGCCAGCCCTCCCCTGCTGATTGCACCTTCCGGGACTGTTGCCGCGGGCGGCGATCGCCCACGCATGCGCGCGCGCGCACGTGCGCCGTGCCTTGTTCTCGGTCGCATGGCCACTGCTCTCGCACCTTGGGGCACAGCGCCGCATCGCGCGGCGCCCTTGCCTTTCTCCTTTCGTCACGCTTGTGTGTCCACAGTCGTCTCAGCTCCCTCGGTCTTCGCGTTGCTTTGCCCCTCCTTGCGTGAGCGTTTGTTGTCGCCAGTCACAGCTGCAGCCATCTATAATTGTTTCCACAAACGCTGCGAGAGCGGCGAGCGCGCCGCGGCAGCGGCACGCGTATCCATTCCAATGTGCACATCCCTTACACATGTCCCCGCCTCTCGAGCGCGCCTCGTCGCGCGTGAGCCGCAGCTGCGCGCTGTTGCGCCTGCATCGCGTCTGGCCCTAGCCGATGCGCGCTGTTGCGCAGGTGTGCCCGTGCGCTTGAGCCCTCTCCGGCGCCCCCCTTGGCTTGTTCATCGTCGGCACGCTTGAATTCTTGCCCTGACTTTTTGCCCCTGCAACGGCTGCAAAGCCCCCCTCTGGGGCTTTCAAACATTGCAGTGACGCTACACATGCACATCTCTATGTCGGGCACGATTGCGTATTCCAGCGTGTTGGCTGTAACCCTCTCCCGTCATGGTGGTGTGTCTTGATTATTTGCAGCTTGAAGAGCTGTTGTTCCACGCAGTCGAGTGGACGGCCGCAGGAGCCCACGCCGCGCCGCGCCGTGATCATGATCAGCAGCAAATGTTGCCAGCAGCAACGCCAGCATTTGGCATGCACCTGCCTGCCGCTGTAGAGGTACCACATTAAACAAAGAAGGCTTTATTGTTCTCATTGGACACAAGCCTGCATTCAGCCCACAAGGAAAGCTGAAACCAACCCGTGGCTGTTTGCCAGTCATCCGTGGGGCCTGAAGTCCCATTGGCCTCCAGGTCGCTCACAGGATCTGCTGACATCCCAAATACGGCATGCGTGCGTCGGGGATTGCGCAGATTTCGGCCTCTGCCTCCTCCACCGGAGCGCGAGGTGCCAGAGCGGTCACAGCCGTGCGTTGTGGTTCTCTCAGCAATGCAGATAGTATTTCGAGACGCAGCCTGATGGCGGAGGGCGCCATGGCGGTGCTGGCGGCAAGCGTGATCGCCCCAGCCGCTGCAGTGGCTGCGCCGCAGCGTGCCGCGGGAGATTGGACCACACCCGGGCTCGCGGTGGGTGACTTCTGTTGTCTTGTGCTTTAAGTCTGATTACTCACACACTCGTGCGCCATGCGCATACTGCCTGTGCTAGCTTCTGACGCAATTTTGCAAGCACCCGGGTGGCACCCATCCAGCATGGTGCCAGCGTGCCCCTGCCTCGCCCTTGCTTCCCGTGGGCGAAACCCTGGGCACCGCCCCTTTCACATACTACCATGCAGGTGCCAGAAGACCCGGCGGCCCCAAAGTTCTACCGCACGCCAGGTGGCGTCAAGGTAGAGTGCCCGGCCGCGGGTGGGAGCTGCGGTGGGGCAACGGGGTGGCCGGCCCCGCGGCGGCAGGGGCGGGGGGGCATCATGCCCCGGCTGCGCCGCCGCGTGGCAGCTTGGGCTACAAGGGGGAACAGGGGGGCGGGGGAAGGAGATGGACAGAGGGTGGCGAGCCGCCACGGGGTTGGGCGCGGCGGAGGAAGCGGGCTCTCGCGCTCGTCGCCCTGACAAGGGCCCTGCCGGGGTGGAGCGTTGCCCCCTGGGAGGCCCCGGCCTGGGGCCTCCCAGGGTTGCCTGCTGCTCGCCACAGCTGCTGCCTGCGCCCCGCGCCGCCTTGCCCGCGTTCCCAGCTCGGCGCCCTGCACTGTTTGTATCCGGAGCATATCAGAAACACACGACCATCCTGGCCTCTATTGGACACCGAAATAGGTGCAGGAACTGCTGGCGGGGTCTGGCACCGAGGCCAGGGCAGGCGACAGCGTCCTCTTTGACTACACGCTGCGCCGCAGCGACGGGTACTTTGTTTACGTGAGTGCATCACTTTGAACATTCCCTGTGGCGGGCTTCGGCTGTGCGTAAAATGGGAATTTTGATTGCGATACTCATCAGATCGCACCTGCTTTCTCGTCCCACTGCTCACCCCCACCCCATATGCACTGCCGCCAGCGGTCAAAACCCCAGCCAACCGGCCAGCCTCATCTCCATCCATCCCCTGCAACCAACCCTTGGCTGGGCGCGCGGACGCACTCGGGGCTGCGCGCGGGGCCGCTCCCCCGACAAGCACCCACCGCGGCAGCCGGAGCCTCCCCCACCTCCTCTCCTCTCCGCCAACACCTCCCTGCTG